CGAATGGATTGCGTATGGCATAGGAGCGGAAAAGTGGGGTGGTTTTTTTTATAACGTTCGCTCGAAGAGATAATCCCCGTAGGGCAATCCGCCTCTGTATACTAATGACATGAACTTCTTTCCCGCCCTTCGGCCTTCCTTTTCTCTTTCCGTGCCACTTAAAATGGAAAAGATACAGACTGAGGTTATATTCGGCCTACTGCGTCTAATCAGTCCGGAAAATTTAAATTGAAGTACTGACAGCCGGGAAAACGCTCTGGATTTTCGGTTGAAAAGAAAATATGAAAAACGCTTGGCGCCTGAATGAGTTGATGGATGATTGGGGTTGTTTTCATTGGGAATGACAGGTGTTTCTGAAAAGTGCCGAGTCCATTCCAATGAAATATTTTATATAAATTCTATAGTATATTAAAAAAAAACTAGTTTACCCCATTAATTTAGATTTATTACACCTACTTATTTTCAAAACTTTCTATAATGGAACATCAGCTTTAATAAGCCAAATTGGTTGTAAAAAACGTAGGTACGATTATATATCTGAACATATTCACGAAAATATTAAGGTAAATTTATTCCGAAATCGATACAGTAGCGTAATCTGATCCGAAATGTTGCGGGGTCGTTGCTCTAATTTCCATTCAATCGCACGCCTATGCGAGCGTTCGATTTTTAGTAAAACGAAACACACACTGACAGCAGTCATCCGTGAAGAAGATAAATGAAACGCGCCAGCGAAAGAAGATAAGGAGGCGCTTTGAATGCCGACGACAACGACACCGACGCCCGGCGTCTCTGTACAACGCACTTGCGATACTCTCTTTACGACACCTCGTAAAAAGCGACGCTCCCAGCCGAACTATAATCGCGCCCGATAATCATCTATCGCTTAAATCATGGAGTTTTCTTGGGAGTTACGGGGGTTTCGAGAGTTCTGTTGTGCACGTTTCCTAATGCTTCGTAATTTACATATGGTGTTTGCAGCAGTATGGTAAAATTGTGAACCCAAATTTATCATCCCTTCAGTCATTATGCAACAATTTAAATTTTACTGCTCGTAAATATAAAAGTTACAGGTTCAAGTCGGTGGAATTTATAACAAAAAATATTGAGCACGCAACATGTATGCAGCGTTGTTTAATTAATTATTTTTTGAGATTTTTTTAATAAATCTACCTCAACATAGTGAGTCGCTTTGTTTTTTCCCCCGAAAATTAATTACTTTCTTTATTACTCGGCCCGGCCAGAAAATAATTTCGGTCGTTTCAATAAAAAAAAAACTGTCTTAAGTTAACTAAGGGCAACATGGTTGCGGTGTAAAAAGTTTTTTAAGTGTTTACGGCCCTTCTTTTGGTTTATGTTAAAGTAAAAAATTTTATTCACGGTCGGGTTAATGCCTTTTATAGCGCCGGTGATTATTTTCCTTCATTGGCGGTTAACTAACAGCAAATAATGACTCCGCGACGAAATTACACGGTGACATCGTAAAAAAAATCTACTCATCGCATTTTTAATTTTATTATCGATCACGTAGATGATGAGCAAATGATTAGATGGATTTATTTATTTATACATTAAAAGATACTTGTTTTGAAAAATTATCTATGAAAATTCTAGATTTATATCCACACTATTTTATTTCCTTAGCTTAAAACACCTTGAGAAATTTTTCACGTGGATTAGAGTCTCAAGTAGCAAGTAAAATTAAACGCTCCATTTTTATTCGCGTTGTTCCATTTCTGCCAGATAATAATAATAAAACAGTCTCTTATTATATTAAAAGCGCCATTTTCGAGATTATACCGGAATAATCGGTTATGAAAATATCGGGCGCATTATTGCCGACAGCATTTAGCACGTACGCTTTATTCTATGTGGATTTTCCACCACTTCTTTACAATATCATTAGCTTTACCATTTTATCGCACCTACGATTCGTATGCCTGGGAGATTATTCAGATGCGCCGAGTTTGTTTGGAATAAAATCAACACCATAAAATTGCAGGCTGTTAGGTAAATTACGTGTAAATAAAAACGTAAGGGTAGCTAAAAGAGAATGGATGGATAAACAGCACAAAAGAAACGGAAAATTAAACATTACTCCGAGGGTTGTTCAGTTTTCATAAATATTTCAATGTGATGTAAATTTGATTTCCTAAGTGCGAATATTTCTAATGATTTTCTTCCGATGATTGGATGAGTATCGCTTACGATTTTGACATATTTCAAGACGTTAAAAACGAAATATGGAAGTTTTCCATTTTAAAGGAGGCTGATAAAGGGGGCATCGGCGAAATGCGAGAATGTCGCCCTTCTTCAACTCGATTGACATTGAATACCGAAAGTGTAATCTTTCCACTTCCGAAATGAGAGAAAATTAAAGAAAAATGTTTTCGAGGTTGTTTGCCGAGTGTAAAATTACATGGCGGAAAGTACAAAATAGCACATTACATAATCGCCGAAAGATGACATCCGAAAATAAGAAAAGCGAGGGGAAACCGAAAATTCGGCTTCATTGAATTTTCCAAGCGTAATAATAAAAGTTTCAACTCCATTCATTCGCAATGAAAACACTCTATAGTTGAAATTTGCATTTGCTTGTAGACCAAGATTTACACACACTCCATATAAATTATCAGTTAAAATATATTAGTCTGCAATAAATTTCTACTCCTGTTTACCATTCCTATTCGTAGATGCCACGTCCCAGTAACAAACAATGTTTACCACTGTTCTTCCAATTCCCATTTCACATGGGCGTGCCTAATTTAAAATATCCTCTTTACCTTAGGTTCTATTTAATTTGTACACCTAAATCAAACGTATCTTTCAGTGATAGCGAGGAGATTTTCCAATGTTTATTTACCTGTTATGTTTAGGTCAGAAATAAATCAAATTTGCTTAAGGGATAAATAGAAAATACTGTGATTAATAAAAATGATTTATTATGATACATGTAGTAGAGTTTAGGTTTATTTTAGAGAGTTCAAATTCAGGGAGACCTTTGCTTTGGCTAGTACATACATATCTAAATCTTTTACGATTTGCACCGTGCCGTGCACGCCAGTGTTTCCTAAAGTTACCAGGTGCAATTTGAAATAGAAAATAACTCGTGTGCAGACAACTAAATTCAAAAGTTTGGAATGTCATGAAGCAGTGCACCATATTTTTACGTCAACAAGAATTCTAACATTAAAAAAGTTGCAGTGGAACATACGAGGAATATTCGACGTTAAGATATTAATTTTTTTTGCAACCCGCCCAACAAAGTCGTCCTCTTTAGTCAACTCGATTTAAAATATTCCGAAATAGTTGAAATGTTTTACTCGCTATATCAAATTATCCAGATTAATATTTCGCGTTTTTGTTTAACCGCGTCGAGTTTGTGCATGAATTAATGTTCAGTAATTTAATTGTATAAATTAAAAAATTAGCGGACGAGAAAAGAGGCTTTTGACGATTTTCATCACGCTCAATTTGAAATTAAAAATACTGGCAAATTGAATGGGGTATTTTAAGAATCTCATTTACATGCCGTTTTAATTGGACATTTTCGTTGAGAGAGACAAGTCACGTTTTGTCAAGTGTTTGATTAATTGCGAAGAATAAAACTTTACCGTTTCATCATTCATCTGCTCTATGAATTCGATTTATCTCGGCGGCTTACCGAAGATTTTACTTATTTTATGCTAATTAACAGATTTTTTATTCAGATTCATTTCTTTTTAAAAACAAACTATAACATCAGCATTCGTCATCGTGACGGATGATCCTCCTTCGAAACCCCATCAATTAATAAAATACGCAAAACCGATTTCGGTTTAGCGATTTAAACCCAATTAATGGCAGCGTTTCACTCAAATCTGGAATTGCAAAATGAAGCATATCTCGCATCAGCCCTGCCTTTAATCCTAATGATTTGTCAGCGTTCATTTCTCCGTCGCCTGATAAGATTAAAACGCCGTATTCTTGTCGGAAATCAAGCGAAATACGCAGGAAATACAAGTACCTTCGCCTGGTGCCCCTCCGCCCGGCTTCAGAAATGAATAATTTCGCAGCAGCGGCGCCTTCAGACCGGTGTCACTTGAAAAATTGCCGCTACGACTTATTTATACGACTCGAATAATTCGCTAGGCGTATTTCTAAAATCTTTTTATAGAATGTAATTTATTATATTGGAAACTAGTGCTCATCATTCACGGAAAATAAAGCGATAATACGACCGTAGGAAGTAGGAAACTAACCGATCGAGAAAACCCGTATAAGAGAAAAGAACGGGCGATGAAAAGCTCGCGTTCGGAGACAAAAGAATATGAAATTCGCCGTTGAAGTAGTAGCCCCCGCACGAAGTGCCTGGCTCAGCATTATTATACAACCTCTTGTCAACCCGTGCTTTAATTTTTGAGACGGAGCCATTGTCGTTGCGTTAGGGATTCCGTTTGAACATTCTTTTTTTGTTAACTTACGCGTTTTCCTCGAATCGATTTGCGAATTAGAATACTTGCGCATTTTTTCCGATAGAGTTTATACAGTCAAATTCGATGGAAAACGGAAAGGAGCGCTTTCAAAATCAAAACAACGGCAAACAAAAAAAGCACCCGTGGAAAATATTAGTTGGCCAATCAATTCTCATTCGCTCGAACGAACAAATTGGCTCGTTCCCGGCTGAGAATTTTCTTCTTGTCGCCGTTCCGTAAATATTCCCAACACTTTCGAAGATAAATATCTGCCGTGTGAAACGCATAGTAAATAACAATCAAGGCTTCCAGGAGAGATTTCCAGTTGATTTTGAATATACCTCTACGGGTTAGCGGGATGCATTCCCGATCGAACGCTTGTTTCGGGCACATAGATGGAATCCAAATTACTCCAGCAAAATCAGATTCTATTTAGGGGATTTTGCTATGCATTGCCCAGAATTAATTATCACATTAGACTACAAGCTTAATATATTTTTTTTCGATTAACTTAAGTGGTTTTAGGGTTGGAAATAAAACACAAAACTTGAACAATGTCCATATTATATTATTTTATCCCACATACACACGGCACGTTGTGAACCTTGTCTTATCATTGTATTTTAATTTATATGTACATTGTAGAACGCATATTAAGATATACATGAAGGCCCGACAGGACAATAAATTACCGAACACAAAAATAGCCCATGAGTCGACCATACTTGAGTCCACTCGACGGCACAACAATTTTATATTTTACAAACAATCTGTACAATCATCCTAACATATGACATTGTTTCTGCCATGCGCCTTCATCTTTATTATCATTAGTGTAAAATCTTGTTCATATAGTACGTACTTATTATATGTAATTGTTTAATATTATTTAATTCCTAATACGAAAAAGTCGAAAGCGCCCACTGAAGGAATATGGTTATTGCTTTTTTTATATTGCAAAAAGCCCAAAATGGCTGATACAATGATTTCACATAACATTTACTGTCTGAAACTGCTGCTAGAAGGACCATCTTGTTCATTGCTCATAGCTACCTATCAAAAAAAATTATATATCAACTGGAACAATATTTTATCACAAAAGAAACTCCGTATGATTTAATACCCCACTTTTCCAAATTTGTACTTTCCCTACGGAATTGGCAAAACAATTTTCCATTAAATACAAACGCGCTTCATAAATAAAAAAATTACAACAGAAAACACTTAATTTAGAGATAGTTTATAAAACGCGTATAAATGAGAAAAAAAGTTTTGTCAGTTCAAAGTTATAATTTCAATTTTTTGTTTAGACATGAAACGTGTTAGAATGTAAAGGTAATTAATGTGGGTGTTAAAATTGGATTAAAAGAGAGAATTTGGCCGAGATTCTGTAGCTGATCGTATTGATTATTCGAGTCGAAAATGTGTGGGAGGTCTTCATAATTGGAATTAATTTATTCCAATTAAATCGAATCGTGGAAATAAAATATAATAGCATAAAAATAAAAAAATAGTAGTTAAAAATATTATCGAATGCACTTAAGTTTGAAACAAACGTTTCATCGCGGAATAAAAATAAACACTTAAACGAATTGTATTTTTCCAGAAAATATTATCTATCTATTTATTATTAGATATTACATCTTCTTTAAAGCGTATTTTCCAGATTTTGTTGGAAAATAACCGATTGATTAGTAATTTATTAAATCGGAATATCGGGTGGACTTTTTGAAGAAGTGGAGCATTTGTAAAAATAAATAAAAATTAATTCAACTAACTACCACTCGACTACAGCATATTGCAATGCAGTCAACGAAGCGTCTATTGTAGGTAATCTACGCGAATTATAAAACATATCACATTATTTTGATCATTTATTCGTTTAACTAAAACGAGAATGTCGCAGGTTAAATTACACTGCCTAATTTAATAGTTGTAGTAGACAATGAATATACACAATATGGTTCGTTTGCTGTATACACGTAAGTGGTACTTCCAGAAACAGTTTCAAACTAGGATGGACTGGGAAATTGCAAAACACAGGGACATATAGGTGCCTAATACATAAAAGTGGCGACACCAAACCACTTGCTACCAAGTATCTTAAATTAGAGTATATATTTATGTATATCATAATATCGATATATACAGCTTGTATACATTTAGTAAAGAAATAATACAAATATAATAACAGAGACGACGCACTTGGCGTTTCATTAAGTAAGGAAAATTTTCGAGAGCGATTGATTATACTAACTCTAACAATTTTCGCTCCCTGGAATTATATTATACAGCGTGTTTTGGGGAAATGTTATGTAACAAGTTATAAAACAAAAAGAAACTTCACCCTGTATAATATTAGAGTTAAACTAAACGTTTAATAATAAAATTTTGGACAGCACGTATTTTTTTTAAATTTCAGTGTATAGTAAGGCCCACGATATACAATTTTCTTTTTTTTAAACATACAACTGAAAACTTCACAGTATGAGATAATATTGTCGAGAGATAATTTTTTATACATTAAATAATACACATTTTTCACGAATAACTATCTTATTTTCCTAGCCTCTATAAGACTATTATTTGTTGGATAGATGTATTCACGAAAACTCAATTTGTTTTAATTAAACGGCATTCATATAAATTTTGTTTAATTGCCTTAGTTATACAAAATTATTTAAACTGTAATTAATCCAATTTTGGAATAATTACAATTCACATATTTATTAGATTTGAATACAAATGCGAAATACGAATTAATGAGTAATAAGGTACAAAATTTAATGTAGACCACTAGTTTTTTTATTTTTTTTTTGTACGATCGCCGTTAAATAATTCGAAAATAACGTTTTGTGCTGCAATTATTGAAAACAACCGGGAGTTCTCGATGTACATCTGACCGTTCAAAGAAACACACCAAAAGGCTTTCAAATTAAGTACAAGATTTTTTCCCTTACTTTCAAATGAATTATGCAGAAATTGAGTGGACTGACTGATTGTGTAACTTTTGGCGTGCCTCTTAGAAATTTTTCCGAGATCGTCCGTGACCAGTTTTTGATATGTTGTTATTTTCGGCTATTTTTTTTTGTTCATTAACACTTAACTAGCTCTAGATTTCTAAAATTGTTCATTGCGAAGCCATTCACCGATTTCACGGACGTAAGGTCAATTCAAAAACGTTACTTAAACAAATTCCTAAGAATTTCATATCGATTTGTTCGAAGTAACCTTTAAACTTAGACGCCCAATTACGAATTATATAGTATCTTACGTGAATTAATAATTTATTTTTCCGTAATTGCAACGCTGAATTTTGTAAATCGATCCTTAATTAATAGATTTTAAATTTTATTAGTGCCTATTCGATTTTAAATCAATGAATTATTTGCAGGTTTCAGATATTTTTAGCTGCCTTTTCTTTATTTTATTGTCGATTTTGAGTGTATCTAGTTTATCTGTCGATTTTTAAATCTCATTTATAATACGCAAAATAAATTAAATTTATCTATTTATTTAGTATTTTATAATAAATATGATAAAATTTATATAACTGTGATAAATGAAGTGGAATAATGCAAAATCACTTTTTAAATTATTATTAGATACCTATGTAAATAAACAGAAATATTTTTAATAATAAAAATAAAAGAAAATTCTTTATAAAATGTATTATAAATTCACTGATTCCTCTATACTAATTCACTCTGTAAATAATTACAGAATTTTAAGAATGACAACGAATGAAGCATAAAATTTAAAGTGCAGGTAATGAGAAAAATATTTTCTAATAACGGGTAATTATTTCCAAGGGTCGAGTTAAAATTAAAACGAATTATTAATTTAAGGATCGATCTACGCATAGCAGGTAATTTGCTAACTTAATTCTATAGCTTAATTCAAATATAACACAGTTTTTGCAGATATCAAAATATATAAAAAAAAACTTCTTTTGGTTAACTCTTCTGTAACTACCTACATTACCATATTGCTCTGGATTGACATATTAAGATTTACCGGAAAAAAATCGCATTGACATTAGTATTGACATTTTACGATCCTTTGGTCAGCTTCTCACCGAAAGAAAAACGAGATTTTACGAATCTCTTCGGTTTTTACCTAAAACCTATCACCCGACACCCAAATATAATGACCAAATTATATACAGGGTCCGCCATTGACAAGAAAGCAACGTCTCATTTGAAATTCCATTAAATAAAAACAACGCGAGTTAAAAGTAATTACTTTGAACTGTTGTAATGAAGCACCCTCTATATTAAAGTCTGGTTAAGTAATTGACGTTTTTGTCTAGAAAACAAATTAATAATTTAATTGGATAATTGCGAATGTAAAAAACGTGATGAATAAAATTTCTAAACTAAAATATTTAATATCTATCTAAATGTCATTATTTTTGTTTATCGGAATACCTATCGTCATCACCTCAAAATATAGAGGTTAAATTAGTTAATTTTTTCCAACATTTCACGGAAACGTTGTCTAACTCTACAATTTAAATCAGTTTAGTCAATCGTTGCAACTTTTCCAAACGACTGAGGACCACCTAAATCTCTGATTCTTATAAAATCAGCTAATTTTTGTACTTTCATTATCAAAATTTCTCATATAAAATTAATCGTTCCTAAAGTATTTTTGGATTATATTCAAGATATTTGATACTGGTAAACAATAATTATTTTATTCTGCATTTATTAATTCAATTTACCTACAATATAACGTAGTTGAAAGTACAAAAAAAGCCGCAACAAAAATATTAACTTTTATAAAATTCATCGTCTCTATTACACTAATCTTTGGTAAGATTTTTCTTTAATACTTTTCTAGCTTTGGTTGGATTCCTAAAGAGAATCACCCGTAAATTCCCATTCAAAAATTTCTATCTAAAACTCGAAAAAGCTAAATTCAGACTTTTCAGGTTGATCGATCGATCTTTTAAATAAGAACTCGATTGCTTATAATCGTAAAAAAGCTGCTACTACTGGCGACGCTTCACAAGCGCCTTTCTATTCACTAACTACAACAAAATACGCACCAATTTCTAATTTAATGCATTAATTAAATGTTTGACATATCAACAAATTGGGTACACAGAAGTTTTCAATGATCGAAGAATTTAAGAAAAGTAAAGAAGTAAAGAAAATTTTTCGAGAAAAAGTCAACCTCATAATTGTTGGCAGTGCAATTTAATTAGAAGGATAAAAATTAAATAAACTAGATAGAATCGAAATAAGTGCAATTTTTATATTAATAAATTTTTAATATTATTGTAAGAGGGTGAATGATTTTAAAAGATAAAAGAGTATGTAATTTAAACATTAAATCAAAAATTGGTTCCCTTGGATATCATTTAGCGTTCGTATTGAAATATCCATATACTGTAGTAAATAACAAAATATATTAATCAAAATTCATATAAAATTGAGTTTAAATGTAATAAATATGTACTCACATTCATCCTAGCTTTGGCCTAACTTCTCGATGATCTAGATGGATCTCAGTTGCAATACTATAACGTACCGTTCTTTCAAACTATATTATTTACTTTATATCGTGGTGTTTTTTTGTACTGAGGAGAGATTTAAATTACAAGCATACTTTGCAGTCAGTCAGACAACAATAGTAATAATATTCATATAACAAGCCTTTTACTGGCAAAAATGATAACTCAAAAACAATAATTTAAATTATAACACACCTTATTAACCACATAAAGTGACATCGTGGGTAGCAAAGTAAACTTCGAGGTCTTGATGTTTGTCGAACAATTTCCTATAAATATTTCGGAAAATTAATGTTGGAAAATTGTGCAGCATTAATAGTTAACTTTGATAGATTTTCTCGTGTATTTTGCTACCCGACCTATAGAATATTTACGTAATAACAGGAAACATTTATCATATTTATATAATATATATACTTTTAAAATTGATCTTGCCTATTACTAACAATTAGACAGATCTAATAGAGGGGTAAGAATATTACAGTGAAGAAATACGAACATGGTTTCTCACTACTAACTAACTACACAGACTTTCCGCGTGAAGGAACAAATATTTCTTCGGAACTTCGAATGTAATATAAGGGTGAATATTTATACGTCGTTAAATCTAAATATATGCCCTTTATTCGATGGAATAAGCCCCAAAGGCTTCGCTATTCACTCAAGTCCCTGAATCAAATTCTCAGTCTAACAGTAGATATTTTTCATATTTTTTATTACTAGAAAATTTTGAATTTTTATTTTGCACTTTTTTTAGGAGCACTTGGCCAAAACACTTACAGCTGGAATGTTAAAAAAATAATAAATATATTCAAAATACTGCAGTAGTATTCTAAAGTTAAATATTTTTGCCTTATCATTCTGATAAATATCTCATATAGAATTATCTTGAAAATATCTACTCACTGTTGATTTGTAAATTTAGTGCTAGTTAATGTGATAAAATGGGAAATCAGAATTTTGATTTGTTCCATCACGCTTGAATAAAATTTGGGGGAATATTTTGAGGAAATACAATCATATAGATATATTTTTTTTTGGAATTTTTTAAAATATTTTAGTATTACCAATACTTTTTGACTAGATTCACTTACAATAGTAATGTATTTTTTTGTTAAAATAAATTTTATTTAAAGACAAATTCTTATTGCAAATTCATGAAAACCAAGATTTTTTTTGTGAATTCATGTATTATCTCAAACAATTCCCGAAAATGAAAATTATAGAAAATATATACAAATTTAGTAAAAAGATTTCAATGAATATTTTGTATACATAGACCGCTCGATGCAACATAAAAACTTCTTACATACTTCTGTATTTCTCATAAATAATGCAATATATCGTATATTACGTAATAATAATAAAATTTATATAAAACAACTATAGTAAAATTAAAAATAAAAGATAAAACAATAAAATAATCAACTAACCACGACAACGCCTCAAACTCTACCTTTTTATTCGAGCCGATCACGTTGCCAAGTTGGTCCTTAATTATAATAATATATGTGAGGATAATGTATCCCATTTTAAAGATACCCTGTAATACATCATATGTAAATAACGCAAGACGTTAACCAATAGTGCCTGTGTTTGGTGGAGAGAACGCGATAATCGGTAGCCGCAGATAAATTAAATCGTAACAACACATACATTTAGCAATTAAAATTTAAAATAAAAAAAAACATTTTTTCGTCTCTCCAAAAATTTGCTAATTTTTATTATAATTGAGAACATTCAATGTGATGTAAGATTACAAGGAGAGAATAGATTGCTACAAATTGTTTGTTGATACTTTATTTGCTCGTTTCATATTGTTGACAATAGAATTCGCTTAATTTACGAAAAGAACAGTTTCACCAAACAACTTTAAGCTTCGGCTATGTTTCTCAAAATACTCATATATCATGAAATAATAGATTGCCGTTTAGGGATGAAACAAATAATGTAATTAGTTTAATGAAGGTGTAAAATTTGATATATTAGGTAACGCAAAATGTTGTTGTTACGATGTTTATGTAACTTTTGCCAACATTAATTTAATCAGTTAATATAGATAGAGGGCACATTAAAGTTTCAAAAATTTAATATTATAGAGAAAAACGTGAAGATTTGGCAGCGAAGAAATTCATGCTAATATAAAATTATCTACTGTTCATTTTTCAGTCTCTAAGTAAATTACACAATATGTATTCCAATAGTACTGTGTGGGAAAAAGATTTATATACCTCGAAAGTCAGTGCTCCAAAGGTTCTTTAAACACAAATTTCAATCGATGCAGTTAGTTAAGACATATAGCATGTAATTTAATCGGAAGGCTGAACGAATGACCGCTTTAAATCCAATAAAATATGTCCGGCAAAAGGACAATAGGTCGTCGGCTACCGATGAGCGGTAAAGCGGTACGCATACACCAAACATTACAACAACAAGTGGGCCTCGCCTGGCGGGGGTGCTACATAATTAGATTATTATACATAAAAGTGAATGTACAGGTGCAGTTGTGATGCCATCACAGTAGCTGCTGATTTTTGGGTCACACAACATTAGACAGTACTTCGACTCAATGGTAGCCATTGGTGAACGCAGCCGGGATCAGGGGACCCTGGAAGAAAATTCACCATCTTCGGGGAAACCATAACATTTTTATTATTCAAAACTGATGAAAATACATTACGGTTATTTTGAGTTGTAATGCATTTTCCGATATTTATTTGGAATCGAGCAGGCTAACAATTATTCGATCTGTGAGAAGTAAACGTTAAAACATTTCATAAACAAAAAAATCCTTTACCCCATTACAAAAACCATTCAAAAATTTAACGAAGGAAAGGACACATTTTAAAGTAAGCAAACGGCCAGAAGAATGTTTAAAAATTAACAGTAATCGACGAAGCTCGGAAAAATAAACAAAACAATTTACTTTTATTGGGAACCATCCGAATATTAACCCAATACGGTTTATTACTCGGTTTATTTTGTTGAAGTTTCCAGCGGAAAGCTCACAAAAATCCGTTTACTGCGTCGTATACTTTTCCATTATACTTTGCATACCTTTAAATTTGAGTTCGAAAAGTTTTTAAAATGGCAAACATTACGTTTTCGAGTTGGGAAAGTAACTAACTATAAAAACACAGCCAGCCATACAACCGAAGCCGCATCGTAAAGGCCGACTAATTATTCAGACGACACAGTGAAGTTTATGAGAAACAATAATTATTTATGTGTGCTTTATGACTTTTCCAGCTACTTTGTTGTAAACGTATAAGTTTAACAGTGTACACTTTCATTTTACTCTACTTTTAATATTAAATTAATTGTAATTCGAATATTGAAAGTTGTTTGAACTTTATAATGATCGAATTTTCCCTTCCTCTATTTATTCCAGAACTACCTACGTACTGTTTGCATTCTGTCTTGTTTTTCAATTAAACATGGCCACTCTACTTGTTTACTTGTTCTCTCAGCTAATAAAGCTTCTATCTTGGAACTAACATTCAACTTCAACAGATCGATAAATGTTACATTTACCCACTTTACTTTAATATACTTTTACAAACAATAATAAATACCTTTAAAATTCTAATTATAAATCGTGAGTGAATTGTAACAATTTGGTACAAGAAAAAAGTATTTAATATCAAAAATTGACTAAACTCTACAAACCAAGTTAATATAATCCACTCTTTGATAAGACCAAAGCAATTTTAACAATTATTAACAAGGATTAAGGGTTTACGATTCTAAAGTCATTAGCATATTATTGGTAGAAGTATAGAATAAGATATAGTTCCAATGAAACGTAAATGAGTATTAACTATCTATCAATTGACGTTAAGATAGCTTACCGGACTATAATTAAGTGGTGCCCTGCTGACAGCGATAGCCGGAAAGCTGCTCGGTTGAGGGCTGGCAGCCTGCACGTAGCCGACGCTGTCGCCGCTGCTATTGTACATGTCGATGGTGGGTCCCGGAGAATTAGCGGCCGGGAATCCGGCCCTGGCGCCGGTGGTGTGCGGTGAGGCGGGCGGACCGAAGCCCTGCGCCTGCGCTTGAGCTGCCGCCGCCGCTTGGTAATTGTTCATTACTGCAAAGGAAATGGAGAAATGATGTCTTGCTGCCGGGGAAGATGTCTGGTGATCGGCTCCCGAAGGCTGTCCTCGAGCCTGCCACGGGGTACTCGGTGACCCTGGAGATATTCATAAGTTAAGGAGTAGTCTTCAGGAGCCGAGTTTTTCGTCTATATCTAGTCGAATTGTGTTGCTTTGGGAGCAAAAGGTTTTAGTTTGAACATGAAAAGTTGAAAGCAAAACTAAACGTGTAATAAAAATGCAGTGAGCAAAACCTAAAAGTTTACACAGCATTCTATCACCATTATCTTTAGTTCCCTTTATGAGAACTACCTATTATCGAAATAGAAAACAAAAGTTACAAACACAGGAAATACAATTATGGAGGATCAAAGCAAGGTCGAAGGTAAAAAGTTACAATCGAGCAGTTAACGTGTGTGCGTTTATTTATCACATGGGTTAAAGTAGAATTACCTGACAAGGCCTGAGTCAACAGTGGAGTGTTATTATTCGGGGTGAGTTGTCCATTGGTTAGATCCACTGAAAGCACAGAGACAAACAATAGATTAGTAACACAGAAAAAATAAAGCGCAAGCTAGTTTATTTGTGTAATAGTGTAATAGTATAGTGTCATTTTGGTGGCATTATTTCGTTAATTATCAACTTCGAAATTATCACCAGGAAATAGGATGTTTTTGTTAAGCACTCGTATTGAATATTGCAGAGGTTGGCTGCTTATACTCGACTGGATAATTTTGCCATCAGTCTTAAATGTAAAACGGATTAATTACACACCGAAATACATCCAGCGGAAATTGATACTATAGCTTCTCCAATTCAATATTAACATACAATTTATGCAACCCAACCATTTGTTATGAATCCTTATTACCTAATAAACGTTGTTAATAAATCGAACTCGATTGCTCCAAATACACGGTGTCCTATATTAGGAATATGCATGAATTTAAAAACACTCCTCATATTTGAATTCCTCTGTAATATAATTATAACTTTCCAGGCCCTCGAATCTAGAAAGCGAGAGAAATTTTGACTCTTATAAATTGGGTCCAATTGAATTATTGTAAACTCTATACATATATTAGAGGAGGAGTAAAGGAGCCACACTGTATGAGCGATGATGAAATGAATTATTAGATTAATTAATGGAAACTGAACTAACAATAAAATGCGAATATAGGTAAACTACTAATTATCGACACCTTTATAGTTTAATACAAATAGAAAGTTAAGCTAAAATTTAAAGCAAATTGGTCAAATCTACTCAAAAATAGGTGAAATATCATCACCTATAAGCGTTTTGTTGGGTGCAAATTATTCATTTTTTTAACAGAACAAATTTAGTTTGTATGAATATTGATTTTGTTCGAACGAAACCAGGGAACTTGGCGGCCTATATTTGACAAATATCCTATTTGCCTAGAAGGGTGACTCGTGCGGTTGAAAATGAAAAAATACCAAGCCGAATTTTCAGCGGGGTTGCATTTATCACGTCCAGTCAGGATTTAAGGTAAAATATGTCTGTACATTTTTTCGCTGCGATGTTTCCTTCGAGTTACGTTTCAAACACAGGCGACGTTCGATTGGAGAAGCTAAAGTATAGAGTATGATGAATTTTGTAAGATTTCGGTCGGCGTTTTGCACCGAAATTATTATTTATTGTTTGGAATTTTCGTTCGTTGGAATTTATCATTCTTCAGATACGAAAGTCTGCGTTTAATGTTAGTGTTAGTGTTGGTTTTGTGTTAAGAGTTTGTAAATGTAGACTATAATAGAAAAATATCTAACTATTTATATTAAATGAATTGAGAAAAATACTATATGTTAATATTATTTACAGCATTTTTCTCCTTCTACACACAACTATTGAAGTTTCTATTAAAAATCCTGCCAAATATTTCTGTTATTTTCCGACACTATAGGCGAATAATTAATTTTCTTCTACTCTAAACTGTTTTTTCTATTACTACACACTAGGAGAATCTATTCTAATGTTATCACAATTTTTTAATATAACTAAACTAGCAGTTGTACCGTTTAATAGTGAGATAAACTACGCTATAGTTAAAATAAATTATATGAGGTTTTTATTAAATTTAAATTATGCCTATTGGTTTAACAAGAACTAATACTTAGCTGTAACTTGCTCAATATTTAAATGATGAAGTTAAAAAACTCAATTTAATAATAAATATTTAAAGAATATTTAGTTAATTTGTGTTTATTCAAATGTAAAGTATTTTCCTTTTATGTAATTACTAATTAAATCTGATTGAAAAAGCTAGTTTATCAACGACTTAACAATACAAAAGCTATGAACATCGAAGTTTTAAATAAATCTACCACTAAATCGTTATTATTTCTCTACTCGTTTTCTACATCTATGACGCTATGTTAACATTTAAAAAATAATTTCTATTCTTGATTATCACATGACTTCTATGTCACAGCTCTAATATTAGTAGAATTACTCGCCCCTTGTTAGAATTGGTGTACAGTTCCAAAATGGTGTCCTTTTCTGCACCTCACACACTATTTCAACACTTGACTGTAATCTTTCCATCTTTCGCATTTGGATATTTTTTTCAGGGAAATGTCACACTTGGATCTTCTTGTGAGAAATGCTTTAATTACATAATAATAAGGGCAATGGGCAAACTTCTTAAAAGATTCTTCATGAGAGAGCGTTTTTTTAGTGATATTAAGAGTGAAATTAGGATTTCACTCATTTGCATATACAGGGTGAGGCATTAGCGTGAAGCATTTGTGAATCATTATACACTGGTAAACGGCGCATTATTCATTCGAAAACACGGAAAGATACCCATTTTTATTTCAGGAAAAATATCTGTAGCTCGAATTGTGCAATAATTTACGACGTAGACGTACGAACGTACACGTAAGAGACAAAAAGCCAAACTAAAACGATCCGAATTAATCAACGTTTGCAGGTGTGCCGGCAATAGCTAGATAAAAATGTTACCTATTTCAAACTTTACAGCTAACCGAACGAAAAAATAATGAACAGTAAATGAAAAATTGTTAAATTCATTACTAATCCTGAAATAAGGACATAATACAAAATAGGAAAATCCCGTTGGAATAAAATTATCGAAATTCAAATCAACGTCAACATCGCCCAGATTAATTCTTATCGCTAGTGTTGATGCGAATATATTTTCAAGGCTTCAAACAGTTTATGTCGTAAATTTCACCCAACAAAGATTTAATCAATTAATTCAACGTTCTCGTATTCCATCGTTAAACAATTACTCATTGCACGGGTGGTTACATTGTCTTCCGCTAATTGAGACTATTAGTTAACGTCATTTAGCTATTTTAATTAGTGAGCAATTCGTTAAAAGCGCTAACGCCGTCTATAATTTCGATTTTATGAATAATTACCGTTTCACAAACACCACACGCGGAAAACTCAATTAATTTTCTATATTTAAGCACCACAAAGAACCGGTGCCAGTAAGTCCTTATTTATTCGCACTATGCCTAATACGAGTACCTCACTCAATGTATAATAATTACATTAAAAAGAAAATATAATAAGTATAGTAATAGCAATTTCCAAGGACTGAACTAATTCAATTATTTATTGAGTTGATCTTATTAAGGAATAGGTAATTTTATTTGTTAATAAGCATGAGCTAATTATTATCGTTATGTCTGATCTCTCCTATACGAACTTTACCATCTGCAGTCCTTAGAGGATAGAGATGGAGTTTTAACTAAGTTTGGAAAAAGTTATCCAAAGATTGAGCCCGGGTACCATTTTCGGATAATAAGATTACAAAAGAGAAGTAAAGATCCAGGTGTGATTTTCGCAAGAGATTGGTCGACAAAAATGTAAAACTTAGACGTACGAATGAAGTCAGAGAAATAAGTTCGTAATACGACGTACAGTTTTTTTTGTTTTACAATGAATACTTTCATGCGGGAATAATATGGAAATTTTCATCAGAACTAACTGCGGTTTCAAAACGTGTCGGAATCGATTTAAATAAAACATGCGAATGTTGTTTTTATCATAATCACGTATTATTACATCCACTGTTGATTTAAATTAGCAATCAAATTTCGTGTAATCAATCGCACTCAAATGGTTTTATTCACTCATGTCATACGGTAAATTAGAAGTAAATAGTGGAAGCGCATGTAAAATTTTTGGTACATTTATAATTTTTTTTTCTATTTTTCCAAGAGCCCGTCCAACCCAGTTTTATAATTGTAACATGTTTAATTCGTTTGGACTCGTTTAGTTTACCATTTCTCATAGTGTTGAGTAAATACTTTTTGGCTTTATCCTTACAATGTACCACCTACATAAAACACAGCAACTGACTTTTGACTTTAGCTCGAGCTTTTGTACAGCGTTGTAAATAATTTATAAGAGGCGCCCACCCGACATTAGGGTTCTTGTAAAATTGAACATTTCGACTTGAAAATTTCCATTTAAACTGCCACAGAGATATCGTAACGTATCACTTTTAACTTTGATTCATTCGTACTGGTATAAGCGTCGGAAAAAAATATATTTCGGGTTTTTTGCATAATGAGATTCGCTGGTGATATATATTGCATAACCCACATATCCACGTATAATTTCAAATTCAGAAAACAATCTGAAACTGAACATTTTCCAAGTTTTCAGACAGAAAGTTAGAATAATATAATAAACGTGAAATATATACGTATAGAATTTCCATTTTCCCTTTATTCTATTAAACTTCGGTAACAGAAATTTTATTTTATAAAACCATCATTTAATTGTAAAAGTATGGTAATCTGATTTTCCTTGAGGCAACATTAAACGCGTTGGTAAATATATAATTAGGGATAATTTAATTAAATGGTAAAGAATAATACTTGTGAGATTATAATTTTTTCCCGACACTTGAAAAATTCATTAGAAAAATAACAATGATACTGGTTCATAATACACACTGTTTTATTTCACGTATTGCTCAAAAAATCTTTACGACATAGCAACAGTCTCATAACATACAATATTATACCTTATTTATTATATACTTTAATATATTATGTACATTCACACATCCTTACATACAATTATATTTATAAATAACATATTCTCAGCAATATATATTGAGCTTTTCTTGGAAATATCTTGATAATGGATATCAGAATTTTTCAAATGAAGACGTACCATAGAAATAGACATTTTATTAGTCCAAATATTTAGTTATTAAACGACATCTTTCTAAATTCCATGAGAAAAATTTCTGAAACACCATTATCAATCTCTGCATTTAATTTCTGTTAAAGCTAAACGTAAGCCCGACGATCATATAAGAATTTAGAGGTGAAGAAAACGTTAGTTTTCCACTTCGAAATTCACTTTTGATATCGGAACTTTATGGACATCTGTTGGCAACAATTTTATATGGACATTCTCTGTTTTAGCATAAAAAACATATTATTTGTGATTTATGTTCAAGTATATTTTATGCTAAAAGCTTGTAGGTAACTGTCGAATGCTTGGCAGATGTGTTTGCGAAAAATTTCGTAAAAACTCCCATCACTTAATTTTTTTCCGCATAAGTCATAAGTAATGTTTTATTTTTCCCGGTGTATTTTACAATTATAATGAAACATTATTGTTAACGATTAATGTCTTGCTAATTGTTAATCTTTTGTAGTTTGATCTATATGTTTCCTGTCGGTAACAAGCATTGAATACTCGTATAACAATTATCAATATACCGAATATGAACCCCTAATATTACAAAAAGCTTGCAGCTAGTTAGAGAAATATACACGTGCGTGAACACGTGATAATCTGTATAAACGGGAAACGTTACGTAAATACCCGATTAATGATATATGCCGGAGAATAAAGTTAAATCAAATTTGTCGTATTTAGAGTATTTTGTTCGCAACACAGCCATTTTAAAAACGTGTCAATGTTTCAATTAACTCTAACGATAAGTAAAAAATATTGTGTCACAAAACCCAATTTGACATTGTTTTTAATTATTTTTAGTTGCATATTTTTAACATTGTCAAACTCCGTTGTCAAACACCTTTTCAAAATTCTGATGTAAAAATTTACTCCACAAAAAAAGTAATGAAGCATTTCAGCGATGACAACATTTCGAAATTGTACGGGAAAAAACTGAAACTGACTGTAGATAGTTCGAGTTCCTCGCTAAATTCGTATCCAGGAGACGAGGACGAGGGAGAATTGTACCATCATTTCGCTAATAAACGAATTTGCGCCATGTGTGAACCACTGTTCATGAATTCCTTGTCCGAAGTCGATAGAAACTTCAAGAAATTGCTAATAAAGTACAAGCAGGCGATAAAAGATGAGGTCGAAAGACTGTTCGAGGCAAAAGGCAGTAAACAGTGGTGCATGATTTGCGATCCTGAACTTAGTTACGAAGTGAAGAGGATTCAGAATCGATACCAGCATCTTATAGACAGTCATTTTTCCAGTTTGGCGCAAAAAACATCCAAATTTCATAACACGAATTTTTATAATCGGTTCACTTTAAAAGCTAGCAAAAGGTAATTTGTATTTTGTCTTGTCCTATAATGAGATTAAAAGAGGTTCTTTAATTACTTTTATACTGTTTTCAATTAGCTATGAAAAAACGTTCTAATTGTAATTTTAATTAGAATAATAACAAATGTATGTATGTAGCGCCTGTGACATTAATCTAAAATAACGTTTCATTATCTACAAACGGAAAAAATCACCAAAAAAATTACCAGGAGCTGCATGGATTTAAAATTTTTTATCTGATTATACAAACTAAGCGTTTACGCAACGGCGAGTTTTTACAAAATAGATCGCACTGTTTAAAATGGTATAAAATGGTTTTTGAATAATGATTTCGCGTCACGTATGGGTACGCCTAGTTCGGACGTAATTGGTGTACATGTCACCTTCCGTATAAAAAGTTTACTCTGATACCATGCTCATGTGAACGAGGCATCATAAGATTAGAAAATATCGTGTAGAAATTTTTTACTTTGTTTGAGCTGTTTTCGGTGTTTATATTAAGTTACGTATTCGTATTTTAATAATTTAACAAAAATAAATGGGACTTTTTAAATATAAGTATAAGTGTATATCATGAAGAAACGATATCGACATAGGCACTTCGTTTACAGACCCAATTCAATCATGCGACAAAATTTCATTAAGGAGTTCCTGAAAATAACCAAAATATTTTGGAGAAATAATGTAATCTTATAATTTTTTATCATGAAGAATCAATTATTCAGGATTAATTTAATTAAGTAGCGAAGATAGTAAAGCCATTGATTAGAATTGTGTCTGTTATCGTTACTATTAAAATTATTAAATATACAGTGTGTCTATTTGAATTTGAATAATATGGAAAACTATTTCGATATTATTTAAATAAAAATAATAATTCGGAAATATGTTCTAAACTCTTTGCAAATTGTTGACATAACATATTATAATTTACAATTTCAATTTATGTAGAGCCCCCTTACTACTTACTAGACCCTTAATATGTTTTCCATTCATTCAAATAGATACGCTTTATTTATTGCAAAGATTTTGATAATTAACTCAAAACCTGATAGTAATTTAAGTAAAAAAATATAATAGTGGACAATTTGCGTATTTTGACCTAATGTTTTTAAGTTTCCTTCATTATCAGAAGAATTCGTTTCCAAAATTATACACTGCTAAATCAATATTTTAGGAAAATATCATATTCTCAAAGTTAAATCCCTACGCACTACCTTGTTGAATAAAAGGTATATTTGAAAAAGAATTAAAAGCTGAGCATATAACAGGATTTCACGAATACTTTAATTTCCTAAAAAATGTATCTTGGTATTATCTTGGTAGAGTTTCACTAGATGCATCCATTCGTGAAAAGTAATCACTTTTGGAGAAGAAAGGGACGGCGATGCGCGCATGCGCGAGAGTTGCGTTTTTTTAGGCATCGAGGTATAAAAAGTGAAAAATTATATAAAATATATTGAACAAGCGTCTTTCTTTTTTTTTGCTTTTTAACGTATAATTATATCATCTTATGTTCAAATACGAAAATAATTAACAATAACAATTGTAGGTATTTCAATTATTAATTGCACTTGATCCAATAGGCCCTTCAGATTAGAATAAAAATAATAAGTGTTAATTTTCCAGAGAAACATCGGATACAATAAATGCCCAATGGATGTTAAAGAAAAAATACTAGGTCCGTAAATAATTAAAAGTAAATTTAAACAATTTCTGCCGTCAATAAAAACGAGGTTGTTATTGGATAAAGTGCACTTCTTTAAATTTTTATAGTTTTCCAAAATTGCGACTTTAATGTTTCTTGTAAATTGTGCTTCTGATATACCATCAACAATTTTCGAAAAACCATATTGGAATGATCACAAAATTGGAATATATTTCGCGAAGCGTGCTTACAAAATTTGATAACGACATTCATTCTGTGTAATATATTTTGCTGGGGGTTTACAATCGAAAATTTGACGTTAGGAAAACATAAAATAAATTCGACAGGATGCAGAACATAAAATAAAAGACGGAAATGAAATTGAATCATGAAAATTTCTGATAAATGAAATAATTCCGAGTACAGATATAAAAAAGTGAATTGTACGTATGCACTTATCATAGCAAAATATATTCAAGAATAATTAGCATTAAAAATTTTTGTGCGCGCACGTGCCATGAAATGGCCATCGACAAAGGAAAACAACATTTAAGAGCCTGGACTAAAATTATATACTAAACACTTTAACCGCAGCGGGGACGACAGGGTACTTTTCTAACGTACACAACTCCAACTTTTCCTAGCCTAAATGTAATTTACTTGGTTACTTTTTTACGTAGTCCTTTTACCTAATCTAAGCTATACCTAAAACGTGTATTATTTTCTAGCTAGAAAAGTATTAGTTAAGCTAATATGGAAGAAATTCCTAGTTTTTCTAGTCCATTTTGCGATAAATTAAAAACGTAAAAAAGGATGGTGTTTTATCGAAATTACTTAAATAAAGTTTTTATTAACGTAACCGTTAAAGTACTGAAAATAGTGCATCTTCGAAATTAATTACTAGTTCATCATTAATTAAGTTTTCAGCTTTCTTGTAGTAAAACTCTTGTAGGTAAAACTATTTGTAAAGGATTAAACATTACTTTGAACTTGGGAGTTGAAAATCATATCCTACAGCAAATTGCAGAAAATAAGGCAAAATGTTAAGAAAACAAAACGAGGTCTTAGACAAAAAAAGTTTTAGAGTAATTAAAGTAAACGAAAGTTGCGACCGAATTCACAAATTTCCTTTTTTTATTGTTCATACTAATTATTTTCTAATTTGGAATGTAAAAAAATTTGAAAACGTTTAAAATTAAAATGCAAGAATACCATTTCCTTTCAATATTTACCCTTATTTATCCGATTTAAATTTGTGGAGATTTAAAAGTTTCATTAAATTTTACAAGAATAGATAAATCGATGCGAACATCATTTGATAAAATGATTAATATCACACTTAATGGCGGGTTCCAGTTTTAATTTTGGCGGAACTTGTGCATATAAAAGTTATTTTGGCGGATGCTTTTTCGAAAATTTGGTGGATGAATGATATTGAGTATCGCCATTTTTAAAAAGTATGTAGATGCCAAAATAGAAAGGTGATATTATTTTAGTATATCGACAGAAGATCGAATAATGACCAAAAAAAACTGAACAAAAAATGGACTAGAAAAACTATATGCTGTTATGAAAACATCTATAGACGAAAAAGATAAAGAGATAGATCTAACTTGACATGTTTATCTCAATTTTTCTAGTAGGTACTTTAACTCGTGTCTTTTGTATAGAGACAACCGTATTATTTTTTGTATTCAACATTTCAGATAAGAATACAATTACGTATACACCACGAAGAAAACAAAAAATTCATCAAATACAATCGAACAACAAATACCCGAATAAAAATCGATCTCTTTTGTAGTCTTATCCAAAAGCATTTCGCGTCAATTAACCAACCAAAAATTATTCAAATCCACAACAATTCGGAATAAAGACAGATACGAACAGAGGAGGGAGGAAAAAAATTAAAGCAACACGCGCCATTTGAGCGCTTATTGCTCCGCGTTGCCGAACGTTCACAGGGGCATGGCATGCAGACCGGCTGCCGCAGCGTTGCCGTACACCCCCAGAGGATGGTCCAGGGGGTAGGACAACAACTGAAGCGGGTGGTGGTGATGCAAATTTGTTAAAGCATTACCTGCTGGATATGGCAGTCCGAAACTAGGGTAGCCCGAGTAACCTCGACCGGCCGCGTAGGCGGCATATGCCGCAGCGGGAAAACCTGCAAATGAATACTAACATTTAGAAATGTTATTCGATAATCAAAAAAGAGTTTTTGCGAGATTTCGTATGGAGTCAACATAAAAAAAAATCCATCGTATTTACGTAGGTACACAATTTCTTTTTAAAATTCCCGGTACATATCGTCCTTATACAGATTGTTTATATTTTAGAGGGTGATTCCTTAGTAAAAAATATATAAAAAAGTTTCTATAAACATGGGTCTGGAAATGCACAGTTTTTTTAGGATATATGATGTTAAATTAAAAAAATGATTACTATCATAAAAAATATTCACTTTTGATTCTGTTGAAATTTGGCAATGTTATTTTATTGTATTAAGAGCCTAATTTAGTCTTTATGATTTTTTTAGCATTTGATAAACCAATTTCGCCCAGTTATAGATATACGTACAATAAAACGGTTTTTATTTTTTTTCTCCAAAAACGAAGTGAAAAACGAAAAAAATACAAGATGTAAAGAAGTTGTATTTTTAGATTCAAGTTACAAAAGCCATCAGTGGTGTACATTTGTTGCCAATACTATTCGCTAAGGTGCAGCCAAATTTCAAAAAATCAAGTACCTAAATATTTTTTAATAAACGGCGATATGTTTATAGAAACTTTTTTCAAATTTTTTAACAAGGAATCACCCTCTAAAATATCTCCGTCCATTTTATGAACGCCCTGTATAAATAACAAATATTTGACAACGCTATAAACTTGCAAAAACTCCCGTTTAAATTCCATAATAAAACATGCTATAAAATACTTCAATTTAGTAATAAAAATGAAAATCACTCACCGTCAGGAAGGGCCCCTAGTGACCACATAAAATCTACAAAACGAAAAAGAAAAAATTAGTTCAATTATAACACGCACGTGTCGAAAAACGGCGAACAACAACGAAAAAAAAACTAATATTTATCTAGTTAAAACGAATAAAATTGTTAACATTCATGAAATTTCAACTACGTGTCTAAGCTACGGACTGTTGACGCGATAAAAGCTGAGGAAACTAATCATCTAACAGTTAGATTCGTTAGAGAAATAAAAGGATATCTAAACAAAAGGTCGAGGAGTCCGGGAAATGTATTCGATGGCGCAGGAATTGTTTAAAACTGAAATTCAATTATTCATAAATTAATGCGCCTGAATAGAAAAATCGACTCCTTTGAGACCTTTGCTTTAAAACTACTCGAAAAAAACCTAAAATAATTAATACCGATTCTGAGTTAGCACAATTTGTTTTAGTGTATTCAACAGCTGCGTAAAACATTCGACTAATTCTACGTTTATACTAAAAAATCTACTAGTCCATAACGTATTCGTTGATTCATCAAAATTTCCTGCTACCCACTATTACTTATTTTTGTGCAGATTAATGTTGGAACAAAGTCTTTAAGCGATAAAAATTAGTCACGAAGACATGTTCCAACAACACGAGTTATGGTTTGTTCTCATTAAATTTAAATGTATGCAACTGATATTGTTCTCATTACATAAGCAAATAGATTATGTAAATTATTCTGAACTCTGGACCTTCATACTATACTAAAATGTATATTAATATTACACTTATGACGATTCGTTACAAGATAAACGTTAAAGTTTCCTAATCCCTAGCGGCTACGCTAAAATACAGATTTTGTTAACACTCTAGACTAGTCTTAAGAAAAATAACGCATGACAATAATACATGTTTATGTTCAATATTATTTCAAAAGTTTTTTTTTTGCATAAAATACATTAAATGTGATTATTTCAGAATGCCATGCGTTATTGCTGAACATTATACCATCAACCACAACCTTTTGTGGTGTAACAAAAGTTAAAAAAAACTTTGACTATTATTATTCTAATTTCTATACAAAAGTTTAGATCGCACCTTCATGAGGCTAAATAGCGTAAAGGATACCAGGCCGACAGCTCACGAAGGACCAATAAGGAAGAATCCTTCCAGGACCTGAAAATTATAACTACTGCCCCGACTTGCGTGTATTTTTAGTCTAATCAAATTAAACCCTCGAAAGACTAATGAAAAACAAATCTCAAAGTTTTGAAACTTAATGAGAAAGCTCACTCGGCGAATTAAAAAAATAATATTACATACATTGCAAATCCACGACATTAGGTTTCAGAACTAATTCGATTTATTTTTAGCTTCTTCCGTCTATATTAATCGAACTCTTATGTTTCTATAATAAAGACCTAACTAACCTAAAAGCTAATTTTACAAGAAAAATTACATTAACGGATCCGAAAATCAAAACGAAAATCGCCAGAAATTCTCGTGTTGATTTTGAACAATTAGCTTGACACACCGGTGAAATTTCATGACCTAATTGGAAAAAATCTAAAATTCGAATTAAAAACATTAGCTACTTTCAGTCGCTTGAATTTTCCGAGAAAATTCGAATGTTGATATGAAAACGTTACCGGACTACTGAGAGATTTCGCCTCTAAATTCCAACTACGTGAATACAAATATAACTTTTCCAGACTATAAATCGTTTATTTTAAAGAATTATAAAATTTGGAATTTCATCTAAAAATAACATAATTTTTGTTTACAACAAGCTACGTTCATGAAAATTTAAGGCACACGATTTTAAATGTAATCAAATTAAATTTGAAGTGACAATATCCTTAAACTTGCTTTATTAACAGGAATATTAGACAAAATACCTAGGTAATTGAACAAAATTTCAAACTAATAATTTAATATATTATCAAATTATGTTATTCTCAGCAGGAAACCCATTATAGTAGAAAAATAGCGACCTAATGCCTTTATTATTATACCCGCCTGAACAAGCTAAAAATTAATTTAACTACAACAGAAATCTAGAATTTTCTCTAGGCAGTCTTAATAATATATACAACGCTGTTCTAAGAGAATTTAGGCCATTTTCAGAAATAATTCATCATAACGGCTTCCTGAGTCTACCCCATTACGAATAATTTATAGGGGTATATGGGTTTATCTCTACTGACAAAAATAGTGATATGAACGTAAATTATAATTTTATGAAGGGCTGTAAGATATAACGCAGTAAATACCAAGTCGACAGCTGGATTTGATTGTTGTAATAAGGTTAAGCGTAGAAAGATTTTTGCATTTATTGAACATGTACTATAATTTAGAGATAAAATCGGCCGTAAAACACTTGTTTAAAAACGAACCGGATTAATTCAATGTTATTAAAGTTTGAAAGAAACTGTTGAGACTACCGTAAAAAACAATGGCGTGCTATAAAAAAATTACGAGGAGAAGGGAGAAAAATGTATATAAAAAATGAATACTTGCAGGGTAATTCAAATAAATTGTACGTATTAGGTTTAAATCGTTTGACAAAAACGGTATACATACATATGCATCTGTACAGGACAAAATGAGTGAATTTTTTGAATGACCATGATATTAGAACAAACGTATACTTAACTAAAACTTCCCTTATTCCACCTATTATATTCAAGCGGTAATTTGAACGATAAAATCGACGGATTCGTTAAGTTAACTCATTAAACACAATTAGAATAATTCCTAAGCTACGTTCTACTTATTGTCTTATTTTTGATTTGTGACCCAAAAATTTCTAACTAACTATTCCCTGATGTATCCTACAAACTTTAGTGCGATCAAATTAGCACAGTAAAATTATTTATCATACGTTTTACTGTAAATTATAATCCGAAACGAACCCTTTTTTTTATAAACGCGAAACATTTTTTTAACCTAGCTGCAATTTCTCACATCAAGCTATTGTTTTAACTTTTTAAACTTTCTACCTATTCTTAACGTAAACATCCACAAAAGCACACAGAGAGATGGAGAGAGTGAAAAAAAAAACGCTAATGATTTACAACCCCAGTCCTGGCGGCATATTTGTATAAACTGTAGTCGGAATTTCGAGCCCCTGCAATCCCACCAAATCGCTAACGGAGTAAGCCAGGGCCGGCGCGGCCCGGCTCGCCGCCAGGGGTCTCACAGGGGCGAACACTCTTTTGCAGCCCGCTACGTCGTAGAGGGAATAATGGAGAGGAGCAGGGGCCACGGCGATGGCCGTCAGAGGAATGGTCGGGGTGGTGTTGAGGGGCAAAGGATAAGGGGCGTAACGAAGAGCGGAGACAGAAGACGCGTTAGATGTCGCTGTTACAGGGCCGGGGTTGAGCATGAGAAACTCACCGTAGGCTCCCCGACCGGCCGCGCGGGTTTTGGCCAGATTCGCGGGAAGCATTACTTCTTTCGGCTGAGCCTTCTTGCACTCCACCTGCAAAGATTAAACAGAATTACATAACAAACATTTATTTATTTCAGTTTTGAAGCGTTTCCAATTCCAATTTCTCCGCGTTAAAGATCGTTTAATTACGCATTTTACGAAGACAACAAAATAATGAAAACCCACTTAAAATAATTTAATATCCCCCGTAATTAATATAATGAATTTCGACGTAAGGATATTCAAGCAAAGTGATAACTGGAAACTTTCATCAAAACGAAGAGTGGAAAGATGTCAGTTGACAAGAGTCTTATGGAAGTTCTTAAATAAGTAGATAATGTACTGCTTTTCATCCTTAAGTGCCATTGTGCTGTTTAACGTTTTATAATGAACATTTCAAAATAATAAGGCTTCGTTGCTAATACGTTTTAAGTTTTAATTAATGATTACATCGTTGAATAAGTGTGAGTTATTTGAGAGAAAATTCTGTTTGAATTTCGGCTGTTTGTGGCAACCCAAGATGCTCGAAGTTAAATTTAGAACTTATTTCATTCTTCAGATTTAATTAAACGGTTTCTATACACGTAGGTAGATGTGTGTAGCAAACGAGATGACAACACTTAAGTAAATTACCAACTAATTATTAACGTTCAACCTTCACCTATTGTTCTCGTTTATATTCATAAAAATATTATTAAATTTAAATCCGAACAAACGCAATTTTCCCAATTTATACGTAAATTCTAGATATCAGTTGAAATTGGATTTTTTAAACATCAATCAATTCAACGGGATTTTGGGCTGATTTAATGAAAACGGCTCCCATAATATTAATCCACATTTTCGTTGTCTAATTAAAAGCCGGTTTATTACGATGACAAGGATTACGGTATTCGTTAGGTGTTAATTGCGGGCTAAGAATTCGTTTACGTCCACATTTACAATAAGGTCTTACGTGGTAATTAAATTTCCACACGTTTAGAAGCAACTAATCTTCAAGCAATTATCGTGGAGAATTACTGGATGGACGTTAAGTAATTTGCATTATACATAATTTTAATTGAGGCATTCTAAGAATAAAAAGGGTCAATTAACACCTTGAAGACACACCTTAAGCCAAACGACAATTCAACCATTATGTCAGTTCTAAAGGTATAAACATTATTGTTCTGTAAATTTCTGTATAAATGTAAGTAACTTTTGCAATAAATGCGCTGAAAATAAAATAGATTTAAAACTGTTTCTTGTATTATTGATTATATTTGTTGTATTTTATTACAACACTAAAAGCACACGAAGTAATGACATATACATGATATATGTGTCTTGTCAAAATTCTCGTCATATAATCTCTTCATTACAAGTACATTATCTACCATTACTTTACACCATTACAAATTACAGTAAAAAAACATGGCGAATAATTAATAACATATTATAACGTAAGTGGATCCAAAAGTAATTTTTATTTACATACATTATTTACTTTCATGTTGTAGGTTTTTATATTTTATACAAATTTGTACAAACCCAATGACCTAGTGAAAATTATGACTGAATGCAATAACTTAGGGGGCTGTCCTGGTCCCACGTGTACAGGTGAAAGGTGTTCGTGTTGGAGCAATAATGACTCGGGAGCTAATAATCCCTTATGTCCACCAAGTTGCCCTTGGTTTCAACAAGACGAAGATGGTGCTCAATGCTCGCCGTGCTGTCCTAATTTTGTTCAAGAAGACAAATTTAATGGACAGTGTTCAGCAAATTGCCCGGGTAGAAACGACACAAATAATCAAACGAGTCAAAACGACCAACAGGTTTGTGGTTGCCCTCCTTGTTGCAAACCGCAGCAACCGGAACCGCAATGTTGTCCGCCAACCTGTCCGAAGAATCTCCTGCAAGGTGATCAGTGTCCGCCGTGCTGCCCGGGAAAGGGGCGTTCGCAGCAAAATAATAACCAGAGACAATGTATCAGTAATTGCCGTCCATGTTGTCCAGGGCAGGTGCAACAAGCAGATCAATATCAATGTAAACCAAATTGTCCGGGCCTTTCTGCGCCAGTTGCAAATAACCAAAAGTATCAATGTCGACCGAATTGTCCAGGCCTTCCTCCGCCATCTGATAATAATAATCAATGTCGGCCAAATTGTCCAGGACTTCCTCAGCCATCTGAAAACAACCAATGTCGACCGAATTGTCCAGGACTATCTCCACCAGTTGATAATAACCAAAAATACCAATGCAGACCAAATTGTCCAGGACTTCCTCAACCAGCTGAAAACAACCAATGTCGGCCTAATTGCCCAGGACTTTCTCCACCAGCTGATAATAACCAAAAATACCAATGCAGACCGAATTGTCCTGGACTTCCTCCACCATCTGATAATAATCAATGTCGACCAAATTGTCCAGGACTTCCTCCGCCATCTGATAATAACCAATGCAGGCCAAATTGTCCAGGTCTTCCTCCATCATCTGATAATAATCAATGTCGACCAAATTGTCCAGGACTTCCTCCGCCATCTGATAATAACCAATGCAGGCCAAATTGTCCAGGTCTTCCTCCACCATCTGATAATAATCAATGTCGACCAAATTGCCCAGGACTTCCTCCGCCATCTGATAATAATCAATGCAGGCCAAATTGTCCAGGTCTTCCTCCCTCCTCTAATAATAATCAATGTCGACCAAATTGTCCTGGACAACCTCCGCCTGCTGATAGTGACCAAGCGAATCAATGCCGGTCCAATTGTCCAGGAGTATTGAACAGGCAACCAATGAATCCAGCTCAATTTTCAAATTTCCCAAATAACAACAATCAATGTAAACCAAATTGTCCGGGACTTCCTCAACAAAACGAAGAGAATAAATGTCATCCAGATTGCCAAGGAATGTCTTCGCGAAATGAAACTAATCAATGTTTACCGTGTTGTGGTAGATATTCGCAATCAAATCAAAATTCACCTAATAATCAAAATATGTGTAAACCGAACTGTCCTGGACTACCTCCACTGAATGATGAGAATCAGTGTCGACCCAATTGTCCAGGACTTCCCGCACCAACAGAACAGGTGAAGTGTAACCCCTGTTGTACCGGATTACCACAATCAGAAAATCAAAATCAATACAAATCCAATTTTCCAGGAGAATCGTTAAACAATCCGTATTGTCAGCAGGGTAGAAATTACGATCCCTCAAAACAATCCTCACCTTCGAGTAACGCTCAATTAACTTGCCCACAAAGATGTCCACGGTGTTGTTCACCACCGCCTTCTTGCCCACCGCCATGCCCACCATGCTGTTCGCCACCGCCACCTTGCCCACCGTGTTGTTCACCACCGCCACCTTGCCCACCGTGTTGTTCACCACCGCCACCTTGCCCACCGTGTTGTTCACCACCGCCACCTTGCCCACCGTGTTGTTCACCACCGCCACCTTGCCCACCGTGTTGTTCACCACCGCCACCTTGCCCGCCGCCGTGCCTACCGTGTTGTTCACCACCACCACCACCTTGTCCGCCGCCGTGCTTACCGTGTTGTTCACCACCACCACCACCTTGTCCGCCGCCGTGTCTACCGTGTTGTAAACCACCACCACCACCTTGCCCACCACAATGCCCGCCGTCGTGTTCACCACCGCCACCTTGCCCACCGCCGTGTCCACCGTGTTGTTCACCACCACCACCATGCCCACCGCAACCATCTTGCCCTCCACCATGCCCACCGCAACCATCTTGCCCTCCACCATGCCCACCGCAACCATCTTGCCCTCCACCATGCCCACCGCAACCATCTTGCCCTCCACCATGCCCACCGCAACCATCTTGCCCTCCACAATGCCCACCGCAACCATCTTGCCCTCCACCATGCCCACCGCAACCATCTTGCCCTCCACCATGCCCACCGCAACCATCTTGCCCTCCACCGTGTCCACCATCGTGCCCACCGCCCTGTTTTAAATTTTATCCCGTGCCTTGCCCGGACCCATGTTTACCACCGAGCCCTTCCTGTCTGCCTGGTCCAAGAAACTTTGAACAACCTTGCCCCCCTGGACTAGGTCGTCAATGCCTACCAAAATGCCCATCACCTTGTCCACCTTGTCTTCCACCGCCACCGCCGTGTCCACTGCTTTGTCCACCGCCTCCAACGTGTCCACCACGATGTCCACCGCCGAGCCCACCGCGATGTCCTCCGCCGAGCCCACCACGGTGTCCTCCGCCCTGCCCACCTCCGCCGGCTTGCCCTCCACGGTGTCCCCCACCTTGCCCACCTCCGCCACTATGCCCACCGAGGTGTCCTCCGCCGCCTCCTCGTTGCCCACCACCGCCACCATGTTGCGCACCAAAGGAAGAAGAAGATTTCCCACCACCTTGTTGTTGTCCATATTTGGATAATCAAAATAATGGAAATTATGGCGGATCTCCATCAAAATCATCAAGAGCAAGCAGTAATAAATCGTGCGGAAGGAATAATTCGGCAAGATCTCCCTGCTTACCCAAATGCCCACCGCCTTGTCCACCGCCATGTCCTCAATTTTATCCCGTACCCTGTCCGGGACATAGCTTACCACCTTGCCCATCATGTTTACCACCTTCTCCAAGAGGCTTTGAACAACCTTGTCCTCCAGGATTATCGCGCCAATGCCTACCAAAATGCCCGCCCTGCTGTCCACCTTGCCTACCTCCACCGCCAGGCTGTCCACCACCGCCAGGCTGTCCACCACCGCCAGGCTGTCCACCACCGCCAGGCTGTCGACCACCGCCAGGCTGTCCACCGCCTTGTCCACCACCGCCACGCTGTCCACCTCCTTGCCCACCACAACCATCTTGCCAACCTTCCTGCCCACCACCACCATGCGAGCCACTTCCATCGGCGGTTGGCCCATTACCTTGTCCGCCCAGACCGCCCCCACCGCCACCCATTTACCCGTTACCGTCAATAGCAAGAAAATGCCCGCTACCACCGAGATGCCCTCCTCCACCACAACCTTCTTGTCCGCCGCCATTCTACCCTCCACCGCCTCCTTGCTGCCCTCAACCGTCTCCCTTTTGCCCACCACCGCCCTGTCTAGAGCCCTGCACAGGCTACGAACCAAACAATCAAAATTATAATGGAGAATGCCCTCCGAACTACCCACCGAGCTGCCCACCAAGCTGCACTCTGAGAAGAACGACAAGAGAAGACAGCAAGATAGCGAAGTATTGTAAAAACTTCTTTAGAAAAAAGGAAAAAGAGAAATGTGGGTATTATTGAAATGGGAGAAAAACCCAAATGGAGAAATGGGATTGAAACGGTAAAGAGAGTTAACATCTCCAACATTGATTACCTAGACTGACTTTGACTCCTACATATTTTATCATCATATCGACAGATTAAATAATTTTGATTCACCAGTATTATTGATATTTCACAAGAGTATTAGTTTGTAAATGAATTCGAATTTATTCAAAATTACCTATTTATTTCTGATAAATTCACCTACCGCATATTAATAATATTAATTAAAACTTCAGTTCTATTACATACTTTTTTTTATCGGTTTTTAGCAATAGTTTTAGCAAACATCCTCGCGAAACTTACCATTTTATTGTTGATCTCGTGGAAGTGAATTTCACAAACTTTATCTACAACATCTTCGCTTTGAAATGTGACAAATCCAAATCCTGAAACAAAAAGGATTACTTTAGGTTTGATTGACGGGTACACGGAAAAACTATCTAAAGTTAAACCGTGCCGGTTTTGAACTCTCATACTCGACACTGAGAGATGCAAAATTAAACCCATCACTTTTGATTTTTAATGTCCAAAATCAATAGAACCTTTCAATTAATTTTTGAAGTTTAGATAATTAAATTAAAACGTGCATATTTGGTCTCAAAATTACAGATCAAACGGTATGAATATTTATACCTATTAAACTCGTCCTATATGTATACATATAATTTCAAATGTGCACTTTTAAATAATATACAAGATAATTATAATATTAGTAAGAATTAGTTTGTTGATCTGTTGCAACAACAATTTTGTCGAAATATCGAAATTACCAAACAATATTTTAAACTAGTCGGCATAAAATAATTGGATTTATCCTCTCGTTTGAGCAACCATCTTGGCTAATTAAATTGAATTTATATGAATTTCGCTTTGGTTAATCTGCTTCAAAATCTGAATTAGGTAGACAACGTTTCCCTAATTGCTAAATTATGTTTCCGAACCGCTAGGGTAGTTTCCTATTATATCTCCTATACAATTAATACGTGTTTATCGGTTATCTGTCTGTCAATACTAATATTGAAGCTACGACTGTTTTCTATTGAAACTCTGTTTACTAGAACTAAACATGGATTTTAGCGCTTTACACGAGTTTACAATTACCTGATTCTGACGTGCGTCTTAAAGTTGTATAGGCTATATCGTTTGCGTTAAGATGCTTCAACAATAAATCGATAGCAGAATGATTTGAATAGCGGAAACTACAATACGATCTCTAATTAATGCATCATATTCAAGCCATTGTTGTTGATTTTCAATGTACATATTTGAGTAACTGTATATCTATTTCTGCAAAATCAACCCTCGCATATTTTTTGAAAGATACAACTGGTATAATTACAAGTAGAAACAGTAAAGTAAAGACAAGTAGAAATATTCCTATTCATTTTAGGTAGGTTACTCCATATTTTTCAATCCAACTAAATCTTAATATATTTCGAGGTAAACCGCACGAAAACAAAATAACAAAAACACGAAATCACTTTTAAATTCACATATCTCCCAGATATTAGTTAAAAATACATCACTTAGAAGGTAATATATCGCACACGTGAGTTTGAGAGGGCTCCTTTCCTTTCCATTTCTTCCGTTCGTTATAACAGATAGGCAATAACTCATCTTGAGATACTCACTCTCGACTCCAACAGAAGTGGAATATAAAGAACAGGGCCGTTTGGATTTTTTTCCTCTCTATTTCCAATCACGTTTCCACCATCAGTTTACCGAAAAAATATTAATAATCCACCGGGCAATCGTTAAGAGGTATACACAGCTCGAACTAAATATTATAGCTTTCCAATGGGCTGTGTCGGCCGGTATTTAATTAGACGTCACTTTTGCACCGCGAAAAAGGCCAAGTAACATCCGTTTAGTTCGAGCTTGTCAATTTCCTGTCCTCAATCATCGTTCTCGACGGAACCCTATCCATCCGCAAGGAAAACGTCGAAAACGTAGGCTCGTTGTGATCGATCACCTCACTTCTAAAATCTCGACTTGAAGCTCTCTTTAATCAGCTATAAATATTTAATGCGTCCGCAGCGGCGGCGAAACCGCTAAGTTTTCCGACACACAACAAAAAAATAACCGATTGCACCTATACTTTAATTAAAACAGCGACTAAGGTAGGGGGTGCACCTCCTCCCGACTGCTCCCGGTCATGAATCAGACGTTATTTATGACCCGAGGTTCTCAGATACAGGATCGTACGAAATACGCCGCCTTCCTGAGGGAAGAACGGCCGTTCGAAACTTGTCCGATAGCCCGACGTATTGACACACGATTCGTGAATTACTAGCTCCTGCGGTAAGTGAAACAATAAATTATCATTTTACTGCTACGACCGGAATTGAGTTTAAATTTTTGAGACGAGTTCCGGAGGTTACTACGAGCTTTAAGGAAGCTAAACCAACCAATTCGGGTCATTATTTTGGAGCTATTGTGGAGGTTCATTATTTTTTGCTTAGCAAATTAGGTATTCTCGAGCACATTAATCTAATTCGCAGTGACGTGGTTTCGTAAATCGGAGGAAAGAATTCGAAACGTTGCGTGCGTAGCGTAGGGAGTCGATTGTGACTCTCAATTTTCACTCCGCGTGCGTGCAGATTTAATCAAACCCATCACCGATATATCTGTATAATTGCTACGGTGTTTTGTAGTTCACTCCCACTTAGCACTTTTCATAATAAAAAGATTTGTTGTGGCGTTATCGCGGTTAGCATGTACGTAATTTAAAAGCGTACCGCAACACTGGCAATTTTTCACGGTTTTATACGGTCTCTCTGACAATCATTGAGCAAGAAGGATTGTTAGAAGAGTGTTAAGTAAATCAATTAATTAGAATTGTTTATGTACTATTATAAATATGTTAGTTTTACTGTTATTTATGCATGAAAATATGCATAAAAATTGCGGTAAGAAGAAGTAGTATAATATATCGGTAAAGAAATTCCTGAATAAGAGTAACTAGGTAATGAAATCTAGCCTAACGAAGTCTGCCAAACCTAATAAACTTGTATTCACAACTTTAGACAGTCTTGGAGCGAAATATAAAATAAAATTCCACAAAGCAACCATCAATGTTAACCCGTTGAAATAAAATAAAAGGATAAAAAATTATCGTCGACCAGAATCGCTTTGGTAAAACAGCGAGCAAGAGAAATATCGCACAATATTCTTTTTGACAAAAAAATATAAACTACAGTTACTTCCGAATCCCGTTCAACCCCCTCTTATGTTCCTTGTAATGCGGATTCACGAGATTGCGAAGATAAAAGACGTTCAAAGGACTACTTTTGCTCACCGAATTATAGGGGTTGTTTATGGTCTGTTGCGGCCCTTATCATGGCGGCCAATCGCTGATACAGGGTGATTTACAAGTTACAATGGACAGTAGGAAATGGAAAATTCCAAAAACAGTCGGTTTATCTGTAGCAAATTGATGAATAATCGTTTTAATGGGTTTTATCCCCTTCGATAAGGACTCGGGATGACCTCCGCAAGCCTACAAAAACATGTAGTTAAATTGGCCGTTCCAGATCGGCCTGTGCGGCATTTGTAATATGTTTTAAAAAGGGATGATCTATTCATTATTGTTATTACCTATATAAAATTCGGGTTACATAAAAAATTATGTAAAATGCTTCAAAAACAAATAAATTACAACGCTCTAAAGATTTTCTTTAATGTCTTGGAATTTTAACGTTAGCGCAGGGGATCAAAAATTTATAGTTCGACATATTTTTCCTCTTCTCACCGGCGAACATTCCAGCCGGAGAATCGGTGCCAGTGCGGTTTAAAAAAAGTCGGGAATTTCCACATCGAATATCTCTGCGTGGAAATTCGAAAGTGTTTCGGCGTCGTCGTGACGCGTAATACATCAAGAACTCAGGATCCGTTAGTTGCCTAAACTTCTATCTGAATCTGTTGGGAAACTGCACAAACACGCTAACTTACTTCCATTTCCTCGATTCCCTGACGGTTCTATCCATGGCGGAAGCTCCCTAGCCCGCAATTGTTTTCGGAAATTGGATAAAGGTTGAAAAATGGACGGGCATTATTTTCCAAGTTGCTCCAGATTAGGAGAGGTGAATTTTCTGGACACTTCTTGATTCATTTCATGCCGAATGGAATACTCATTTTCGCGATTTTCTCCAAAAGCATTTCCCGTATCATTCGTGCGGATAACTCGTAATTTAATTATTTAAAAGTAGCAAAAGCAAAACGCAATTTAAACTAATGAACGGCGGTATTTTTACCACCTGGTATTGAAATTATTCAGTGAATTATTAGACAACGGTGTAATGTGTAGGTAGATTGAGCGAACCTAATTCTTGGCAGTTATTCTCTCCATTCTCTCTTTGTACATATTTTATGATCGTTACGCCGTTCTCCGTTTCAATGGAAAATAACGCGCGGGCGTGTATATAAAACCATCCCACTGACTCTTAAAATATATATAAGCGACACCTAATTATTGCCGGGTCGTAACTGTAATCCCCCTGTTGGGGTACCAAATACAACACGGCCAAATTTATCGCAACAGGATATGAAAGCATTTTATGCTCGAAATCGTTCCAAACGTATAGGATCTGCCTTGCTTCCTATACCAAACTTAATAATTACCTACCACCCTTTGGTAAGAGCTTTAAAATTATTAAATTATAGATACCTATTAAAATAATAATGGCTAGAACTTTGAATTGGTGCACTTACGTACATACATGTATTTATTACTATCTATTAATTATTAATTAAAGCGGATAAATTTTAGGGATGGTATATAAAACGTACCTTTTGTGTATCTAATACATCTCAAAGATCTCGGAAGAGCTATCTATATATTATATCGATCGGGCTTTCCGTTCACGTACGAAAAAGCAAGGAAATCAAAATGTTTCAGCAATTCAGTAATGTCCTGCGAGTGTTATGAAATCCCCGACAAGACTCTTACGATAAACTATCCTCATTCGTTTGAATCGGGGACGAAAATAGCGTTGAGTTTCCTTGCAACGAGGAATACTTAACAATGTCACGCGATCCCGTATTCATTTGGTTATAAAAGAGAGAGATTGCTACGGCGAATTTGTGTCATACGGGCATTTTAGACGAAAATTTAATTTGCTTCCTTGTGTTATTTTAAAATGATACGGATTGTGTTTCTTCGTTACGGACTCTATTGTTCGGCAAATTGCGCCTTAGCTCGAAAAAGACTAAATTTTTACATTTCGGTATCAATTTATCTTCATTTTTAATTTTTCTTTTATTTCCAGATAAGGCGATTCCGCTTTGACAATAACAGGTAAGATATCTAGATATGTACTCCATTTCTCTAATCGAATAGAGTCTAAGTAAAATTTTAACTTCCGAACGAAAAATCAACGCGGTTTTG